ATAGATAGATAGATAGATAGATAGATAGATAGATAGATAGATAGATAAGATAGATAGATTAAGATAGATAGATAGATAGATAGATAAAATAGATGGATAGATAGATAAGATAGATAGATAGATAGATAGATAGATAGATAGATAGATAGATAGATAGATATGGCATTCGGCTTTGTTCGGGTATTTTCCCACGTCATAGTAGTTGTGCTTTTAAAGTTGTAGCGACTTTTCAGCAGAATCTCATCTGCCATCATCAGGCTTCTGTAAAATATCTATCTATCTATCTATCTATCTATCTATCTATCTATCTATCTATCTATCTATCTATCTATCTCTATCTCTATCTCTATCTATCTATTTACAGAAGCCTGATGATGGCAGATGAGATTCTGCTGAAACATCGCTACAACTTTAAAAGCACAACTATGACGTGGGAAAATACCCGAACAAAGCCGAATGCCATACATGTAAGTACCCGCGAAAACACACACACACACACACACACACACACACACACACAGGTTGGAAATCCCAGCCGAAGATTCACGAGAGTTCAAATTGGCTCCAAGGGTTGATTTAAATCAGGGGTCTCCAACCTTGGCCACTTTAAGACTTGTGGACTTCAACTCAACCCAGAATTCTTCAGCCAGCAAAACTTTGGGCTTCGACTCCCGGAATTGAACTCGGGGAGTTGAAGTCCACGAGTCTTAAAAGTGGCCCAGGTTGATTTAAAGCGTCTCCCGCTTCTACTCACCTTCCTCATCGCCACTGCTGTCCGACTGAGGCTGTTTGATTCGACGCCTTTTCTTCTTCAGGCGGCCGGTTCCTTTCTCCTCCTCATCAGACACGTCTGTCCTCTTTGCTCTGAGGGAAAAGAGAGCTCAGCTTAGATAAAAAGAAAGGGAAAACCAAAGCTTTGCCAAACACAGAGAGTCCTTGACTTACAACCATTCATTCAGTGACCATCCAGAGTTACAACAGCCCTGGAAAAAGGGACTTAGGACCGTGTTTTCACGCTGTAGCATCCTGGCGATGATCTGATCAAAAGTCAGGCACTTGGGCAATTTCCATATTTATGACAGTCCCCTTTTTGCAAAGCCAACGGGGAAGCCGGATTCATTTAACAACGCTGTTAGTAGCTGAACAGCTGCAGTGATTCGCTTAACAACGCTGGCAAGAAAAGGGGTAAAATGGGACAAACCTCACTTAACAGCCCCCTCTGACTTAAGGTAGAGTCTCTTATTGAGCTTTTTAAAATAAAATAAACAGCTCCCCTAAACAATCTTCCCAAACTAAGCACTCTTTGTAGGCACCAAAGTTAGGTTTGCCTTTAAAAATAAATTTGACAACTTTCAGCCGGGACTACTCTGCCAAACGTTAAAAATTGGAGCCAGGCAAGTCTTAAGCTGAATTGCTTTTTTTTTTTTTAAGGTATGCTATTCTTCCAAGTATCCCCCCACCCCTCCAGTATATTTTCACATGCTGCCTGGGGGATTCTGGGAGTACAAAATCAAAGCCTCGATTTAGGCCCACAGAACTTTCAGGAGCTGAAGTCCACACAGAGGCTGGGGAATTCTGGGAGGTTAAAGTCTACACATCGTGGCTGGGGCATTCTGGGAGTTGAGGTTCACAAATGATGGTTGGAGGATCCTGGGAGTTGAAGGTGACCCATGCTGGCTGGGAGATTCTGGGAATTGAAGTTCACACGTGTTGGTTGGGGGATTCTGGGAGTTGAGGTTCACAAATGATGCTTGGGGGATCCTGGGAGTTGAAGTTCGCTCATGCTGGCTGGGGGATTCTGGGAACTGAAGTCCACACATGGTGGCTGGGGAAGTCCACACCTCTTAAAAGTTATCAAGGTTGGCAACCTTTGATATACACGTTGCAATAAATCACACCGATGACTGAAAACAGGCCCACGCTTTGCACAGCCTGGGTCACCGAGAAAAACACCAGCCGCCCCTACCTTTTCTTATCCCTCTGCCGCCCTCTGGCCGGCTCAGCCTCCTTGCTGGGCTTCTCATGGCCGGGAGGGTTAAGAGGAGATTTGGGGTCCAGGGAAGAAACGGGGGACTTGGCCGCGGTTCCCTCTTCCTTCTGTGGCTCGGGCTCAGCACTGGCTTTGCCTGCA